GATGTTATGGGAAGAGAGCTAGTAAGTGACCCTCCCTTGACTTCACTACGAAAAGCTTCTTACCTCCAACTCTTTGTCTGTTTTGAAAACGCGTAAGTCGGCGATTATTGGATACAACTTGTTGACGTCGACGTCAATTCTAAAAACGTTCATCATTTTAAGATCATGCGGACTGCTCCGAACCCGAGAGAGTTTTTCTTACACCAATTCTGTACGTAATCTGTTTAATTTTCACTGAAAAGAAGCATCTGCGGGTTGGGACGCTTGGGACCAGGGTCCTACGCTGTTACTAGTTCAACGGGGGGCGGGTCGTACCTGGTTGGAAAGTACATGGCACCAAACGGTTTGTCGTGAAAAAAGGAGTGTCTCCAAAAAAACGAAATAGTAAGCTAAGTGAGCCTAGGTGCAGCAGGCAGCGCAGGAGCTTGGGAGGCGCCATGAGCGCAATGGGAGCAAAAATTCGCAACGTATTTTCGAGAATCTCGTTCATAGAACAGCCACCGCCCGACCCGCTTTGATGATTGGAGGTCGTCCGAGAACGGCTGGGAAATAGGGTGCTCGATCAAGTTCTCGCACCGCTTGGGGTGTGAAAATTTCATTATGAAAAGAAGTAACAACGATAGCTAGTGACCTGCTGGACCTTTCGAGTTCTTTGTCTTTCTTACACGGCGCGTCGAAGTAGATGCAATTATGTGTGAAGAGTTGTTTCTTCTTCGCTTCTCCGTTTTTACCCTCTCCTATAATGCGATCAAGACGTCAAACCAAAAGAGTGTCTGAGTCGCTTTACATACCTAAAGGAGCGTTTCGCGAAGAACGTGCGCACTTAATATACACACTAATCCATCGTAATATATAATTACAGCGAGGTAGGATGTCAAGCGACCCCTCCATCTGAGCAAATTTACTTTGGAAGCCAGAGACGGCAGAAATCATACGACTTCTTTCGCCGGAAAAATTCGGCGGCTGCAGAACATTGCCGCTGTCGGAGTTTTCCGCTTTCTAAATTTCATTTATCATTGAAGAATTCCTTTTCTAGTTAAAAACCATTCCATAACTCACCAATAGCAGAACTTCTTTGGCCTTGATTCCTTTGAGGTAGTCACTTATGGTATTTCCATCCAAGAAATGAACTTCGTCAACTTCGTATTTCCTTCTTAAAAAACATTCTCGTCGTGCAATCCTAGACAGGAGGAAATCTTTGTACTGTTTGTACTGTTCCGCTAATCCATACTGATGTATGATTTAAACAGGCGATAAGATTGATATCTAAACGAACAGCTGTGCCAGAGAGGCCAAAGTGCCAACATGTTTGGATCGAGCACTTTGGCGCAAATAGGTTCATGAGTGGCGTATCCCTTCCGATCTGGTACGTCAAACCTTGGTTCCACAAGGCACACCGTCTCTCAGTGAACACCCGAACAGGTCCAAAAAAGAAGTAGATTCCCTGACAGCAATTCCATTCTATGGAAACGTAATGGCTTGAAAGTGGGGCACGACTATATCGTTGAGTAAAAAGGGAAAACCTTAGAAAACGCTCCGGCTTTTTAAAGATGCGCCAACTACACAGATACAGTTATCAATACATTTATTATACGTAACGACATGGGCGGTTTTATTGTTGGTAACAGACTTGCTAGGGACAGTGAAAGCGAGCAGCTACCTGTCTGAACGGTAAATCTTCTGAGTCAGTATTGTAACGATGCTTTTCGATTCCTCCTTGTAGAAGCACTACACTTCCTGGCGCAACATTCTGAAGATGCAGGCGTCAAATTCTGGCATTAGTAATGAGTAGCTATCTAGAAATCTAATTGTAAGCTTTCCTACAAAGCACCGGAAGCATCCATGTAGGAGTGTCTCGGGAGATGTTCTCATAAAATTAATGTAAAAAAAGGAAACCTGAGTGCTTGCAAACAAGACGACTGCCGATCTGGCAGCATAACAAGTTCTTGCTGAGACCTTTATGTGTGTTTCACCGACAGCTATACGACATTTGGCGACAAAGTACTGAAAAAATTTGAGGTGTTTTGATACTCTCCAAGCACGCCTGCCTAAAAGTCACTGCATGTCGCGCTCATCCATACATACCTATAACGACGTAAAAATCCTTCTTTTTTAGCCCATTCATGCCGGTGGACAGCCCTAAACTTATGCCTCAAAAAAGGGTGCTCGTGGCACGAAGGCAGCTCACATGGGCTGCCAGCTAATAATCGCTTGCCAGTCATTAATATACCGTCATTTATTTTTGGGTATATCTGATATAAACGAATGAAATAGGGACTCACGCGAAACCGTAAACGACAGGATTCATCGAAAGTTACATATGCTTGATTTTAGAAAGGTTTTTTGAGGTATTAGATTTTTAGTTTGATTATTCTCTTTTCTTTTTGTTGCCACAAATATGTGAATGAAAAGATAGTTGTAGATACAAAGCACTATAAATGAAAAGGTATGTGGTTAAGCGAAACAACCGAGTTAAAAACGTTCTTAGCCTCCACTGCGAGGAAAATGGAATGTTGAATGGAATGGTAATGAAAAGGGAATGAAAAGGGAATGTTCCCTTTTCATTACCATTACTCGTCGTTTTAATTGAAATCGCGTCTGTCCCAGGCGACCGAAAAGTCGAAAAGAGGCGCCCTTGTGAATGTGTTACCACGCTGACGACAGGCCTGACGCGCAAGCGCGTAAGACATTTGCGCCGCATGGATCATTCTGACACGCATGCGCGTCAGCAGCTTATGGTTAGTACCCATTTCTTACGCACCTGTCCGACTTATTTCCGGAATTTTTATTACTATTATTTAGACAATACATCATCATGCCTGTAAACGGTGTGGTCCATGAAGCGGTTGAATATGCTTTAGTTAAGCGAAGGTTTTCTGAGCCTTACTAAATTTTCCGTTTAGTTCAATCTTCGACTACTATTTTGGGTTAACAAGCACAAAAACAAAACATAAATGCAAACAACAATGCGATACATAATGTCAAGGAACTACGGTTCTATGGATGAGATGACCTGTTTTTCATTTGAGCAGTTTATACAAAAGAATTTTCTACATCTTCCGCAGCGGTTTTACCCCTTGTTTTGCTAAGCCGCAAAGCGATCTTGCTCTTTAGAGATAGTTGCATAACGTTCTAAACACTTTCTTTCTGTTAATTCCTTTCAAAACCTTTACCTTCTTTCTGACATACGTCACGTGGGAAGCAAGTGACTTAGGAAGTATTCATGCTCAACGTTCAGCTGTGATTCGACCACTTTCTTGGAATCATTTATCCGACGAGATAGTGTGAACATGCACACTCCAGATTTCTACGCATGTCATTCAAATCGCCCGACCCTCCTCTCTCCTCCATCTCCCGAACTGGCTATACTCCCCGAGACTCACGGATTCCTTATTCTGCATTGATGTCATCACTAGTATTTCGCTGAGAGGGTAGAGACAAGCAGTGCGCGTCTCTACCGGAAGCCCCCTCCTCCCAGTTAGCGTTGTACCCTTGTTTTGCCACTTTTCAGTTTTGAGTTCCGAAAAACGCACCTCGTGGGACAAGCTGACGCGCTTGCGCGTCAGGCAAATCGCGCCCGCCAAACTGCCCATGTCCCATGCGGCGGAAAAAGCCAAAACCTGCGCTGTCGTCAACGTGTTAAACAGTACATTTTTACAAAAGAATTATCATGTTCAATATAGGAACAAATTGCATCCAACTAATTCATTTTTCAATTACTTGTGATTCATTTTTAAATAACTTGAATTTTTAGTAATTTTTTTTAACAAATAAAACCAAGTTAATTCATTTTTGTTATTATCTTAATTACTATGTTTTTACCTGGATGTTCAATATTACTCTCCAAAACTAGTTAGAATTTTTATTTGAAGGGTTTATGCGCAAATTCTAAAAAAAATACTGCACACATACACAAGAACACTGGGTTATGAACAAAACTTTCGCCCCAGGCGGTACCAAGTTTTGTGCATAACCCAGTGTTTTTTGTGACATCTTTCAATAAAGCGAGACTTGCCGGCGTCCCAAACAGTCGAGAACCAAAGTAAAACCATCACATTTACTTGTAATCGCGAAAAACACTGCTTTTCACTAAGAGCGCTATGCCTATGGTCAAGGATTACTAGTTCGAGGGTTTACCAAAATAGAATTCTGCTGGTCATATTAGCAATAGTCTGTTCCTTCAGAGACTACCAGAGCTCAAAAAATAACAAGGTGACCTTGACGTTGACCGCGTAATGAAGAAAACCGTTTGATTGGTCTGCAGTAACAGTCGGCCGATAACCCTTTATCAGTAGCTGTGCTTTCGTGATCTTTCGGTTAACTGGTTATGGGATCGCTATCGATGTCTATGCCTTTAGTGAGCAAAAATCAAGGAACCATATGTGTTCTGTTCCTATCTCATTTCTTTCTACGCGGTTAGCCTTTAAAAGAATGCGTTAAAGCCACGAGTCAGGCTCAGTGGACCAAACCAATCACTTTAGTCGTCTATGTGCATGGCTACGCACCCACAGGGACGTTGCCATGCTCAGAATCTCAAAAGGCGCCGTAATAACGCCCCAGGGCATGCATTAAGCGCTCGCGCCGCCTGGAGGCGCTCCGGCCGCCCACCACCATGGGATGTGGTGCATGGCTGGCATAACGTGTGAGATCAGCTAACAGCTAGGTTGATTGCCGTATCAACCGTAGAACGACTGATATCTTCAGAAAACTTGTTTGTACGTGCCTCTTTCCCAAGCCAGCCTCCTTCACTGCTAGTGGGGAAGAGGTTTTGTTAACGGCCTTGTCGACGGTTTTTCTCAGTTTTTTCTCCACTGTCGTTCTACTTCGCATCTCTATACTCAGTTTCAATCGCCATAATACCCCCTTATTGAGCCCGACTTTGCCTTTACCCATTCGCG